CTGATCTCCCCGGTGCTGGTTCCGATCCTGAACAGGTTGATTCCTTTGGGTTCAGACAGGTGATAAGAAAGCAACGCGTTGTATCCAGAATCTGCATCCACAGCCCTGATCTTTGCTACAAAGTAGCCCACTTCAGCAGAATAGGGGATGGTCTCACTATTAACAGAACCGAGCTCAGAATAAGGAGCCAGGATAGTTGGACTGTTGTCATTCTCATCCAGGATAAAAACATTTACAGTCATGTTGCTGCTGAGTGGAGGAACACCAGAGTCTGTGGCCTGAACTTTAAACTGAAATGTTTTCAACTCCTCATAGTTAAACGACTGAAGAGTAATAATCTCACCTGTCTCTGAGTTGATATTTAACATAGTTGGCACTGAAAATTTGGAGGGGTACATATCGGTCAATGAATAAGTAAGTTTTGCATTTTCATTCTCATCTGCATCATGTGCATTGACTCTTGTGATAATTTCTCCGGCTTTATTGTTTTCTTTTAAATAAATGTTTATGTCAACTCCCTGGAAAGTGGGTGCATTATCATTGACATCAAAAATATGCACATTAATTACAGCTGTACTAGAAAGAGGAGGGTGACCTTCATCGGCTGCACTAATGGTTACGTTATATAGTGATGCCGTCTCTCTGTCAAGAAGACCGTTAACTACTAATGAGTAATAATTTTTGTAGTTTGACAGTAATTTAAATGGAACAGAACCTTGGATCTTACATGTGGTAAGACCATTTCTACCTCCATCTTTATCACTGACAGTTACTAAAGCAACAACTGTTCCATCTTCAGCATTTTCCTTCACTGGACTCATCACGGACGTGATGGAGATCTCTGGTGCGTTATCATTAACATCAATGACCTCCACCAGCACTTTTGCATAACCGCAGCGAGGGGAGGCGCCTTGGTCTGTCGCACGCACTCTTAATTCATACGCACTGTTTTCCTCATAATCTAAATCGCTGCTCACAATAATCTCACCACTCTCTCTGTTAACTCTAAATTTATCAGGGGAGTCCACAGTTCCTCCTTTCATTAAAAAATATCTAATCTCAGAATGTGCACCCTCGTCTAAATCAGTTGCATTCAATTTTACTATTGTTGCACCTATGGGTATATTTTCATTAACACTGACTTTATATAGGGACTTATTGAACGACGGCGTGTTATCATTAACATCTATGACATTCACGTGGATTTGCATGGTGCCAGACCTCACAGGTGTCCCTCCATCTACAGCTGTTAGTGTTAATTTGACAGTGGTTTGTTTTTCTCTGTCTAAAGCTTTTTGCAGGACCAACTCAGCAGACATGCTGCCCCCTCCGTTGCTCACATCTATAGAAAAATACTCATTGGTGTTTAATTTGAAGGTTTTGATTGAATTACTGCCAGTATCTGCATCAAGAGCAGCTGGGAGGGGATATCTCTCCCCAGCTGGGGATGATTCAGAAATATTGAACACATGGATTTGCTCTGGGAATGTCGGTGCGTTATCATTAATGTCAAGGATGCTGACTTCAATGCGATAAATATTCATAGGATTGCTGAGGAGCGCCTCTATATTTAGGGAACACTTGGGTACATTAGAACAAAGCTCTTCCCGGTCGATCCTGTCGCTCACAAATAAAGCTCCTGTTCTCAAGTCAGCCTCAAAATATGTCTTACTGTGTCCAGATACAATCCGAAAGCCCCGTTCCTCCAGTTGTTGTGCATTAATGTGTAAGTCCTTTGCTATATTCCCCACTAGTGTGCCTTTGTGCACCTCCTCGGGAACAGAGTAGGAGATCTGTGCGGAGGTGCGGTCAGATAAACAAAGAAGAATGGCGAACAGCATCCGTTCGACGTCTATACAGAGATTCCGAGTCATTTTTTTTTTTTTTTTTTTTTGTAAAGATAGACCCACAGAAGCAAAAAATCAGTAACTCACAAAATAGAATGAAAAAAAAAAAAATCTATAAAAATCCGAGCGCTGCAAATGTCCGGACCATCTTTCTCGAGGGCGACGTTTCCTAACGCAGAGCCGAGAGTAAGAACAGGCTGTTTCACGTTTCACAAAAGAGAAGGAGGAGATTTTGCATGAATATGCAGAAGTCAATGCGCGGTCTCGGCTGACATCTTGTGTTCTTTTTATGAATCACGCACAACAACCAATGACGCACACTCTCACACACATAATTCATTTTAGAAAAGCGTCAGTATATGTTTAAAACAAACAAACAAACAAAAAAACAGCAAAGACAAGAGTTCTAATTTAAAAAAGTGGAACCGCACTTAAAACGCAAGATAGATAGATAAGTGACTTTAAAAAATAAAAACAACAATAATAATAATAATAATTAAAAAAATAAAGTAAAAAATAAATAAATACAAAAATATATATATCTCACAGTTAAGGTATGAGATAGGCGTAAGCTTCCCCTGACCCAACACGGACAAAACGAGTGGGTGAAGAAAGTGGACTGATGAAAGGACTGGCATAAATTGTAAAGAGGTCATGAAACAAAATACAGAACCACAGACAGCCATTTACCAAATAAAGGCACACAATAAATCTGTAACATCGTTATCACTCAATAGGAAACTTGTCCAAGCAATCTAATATATACACTGCCATGAAAGATGCACATTACTCGAAGAATGCTGAGATGGGATGGAATAAACGAAGTCTGGGTGAAACAAAAAACAACAAAAAAACAAAAACACAAATAAACCCCAGAAACTTAAATGAAAAACAAAATTAAAAACATGAGCGTAATTACAAAGATAAATGCAAACTCACCTTGTCACAGTTAGGTAAAGTCTGAGTTCTGGTAAAAGTGTCTCCTCCATTAAT